GCAGATATCATGTGTGAACATCCTGAACTCCTGCTTTTTCCAATCCAAGTATTCAGACAGCTCCTGTTCCTGTGTACCGAAAACATACAATTTCAATTCAACAATGTGTTGTACCGCCACATTGATGGAGTAGCTATGGGTAGCTCTCTGGGTTCAATTCTGGCTAATATATTTATGGGAAACCTGGAACAGAGGAAGCTTAAGCACGCGATCGATGAAACTACACCCTACTACAGATATACTGATGACAAATTTCTTGTCTGTGATAATCATAAGCATTCTATTAATCTACTCTATCCATTTAACAAAGCACATAAAGATATACATTTTACTATGGAACATGAAGTAAATTCCATTTCTCAGATATTGAAATCATACGAACTTCAAACATCAAATTACAAAGACAGATTCACCGCAAAAATACCTGGAGTTTATCTGAATTACAACAGCCTATGTCCAATAAGTTACAACAAGGTAATTGTACGAACCCTTTTTGACCGCGACTGACTGACTTTATGTGAAACGAACTGCTTGCTCAAACAAACAAAAACTGACAGGTCCTCCTTTTTCAGCACTTCTAAATCCATTTATCAACTTACATAAACGTGCCAAAGCACATACATTGGAAGTACAGAGAGAAGAGTACATGTTCGCATTTCCGAGCATGTTTCAAAAAACGTGAAACTGAGAGGCGCAATAGCTGTTAACACTGTAATAGCCCTGAATTTACCTGACACCGGGCATATCATTGATATTCCTCAATTCTTCAAAATTATAAGCAGACAAAGAAGCACAGCGTCTCTTCGTTTTGCTGAAGCAATTGCGATAAAAAAAACTTAGACCTGATTTATGTATGTACTACCCTGGTAAATCATTTCTGTCATTATCATTATTTTGTTAGTGTTTATTTTGTTATATGGTCTTCACTTACCGAATTCTTGTTTTATGTACATTAAAACTACCTCTCCGCTCATACATCTTTATTTACTCAATTCACTTCACTTATGTACCCTCCTTAAATCCTATTAATTGTTACGTAACCCACTTTACTAATCTTTCTAATTCCAGGAATCTTATGTAAACCCTTCATTACCTCTAAAATTATCACACAATTAATTTTGTCTCTGAACCTTACTTAATTAAAGCATCACCCGCCCCCCATGTTTTTCGATTCCAATACCAAATGACCGACCTGTTCCTGAACATAAATATATAGTTATTATTGATAACCATTGTCATTCCAATTCTTTTTATTCATCTATGTCAATTGTTTCGCACTATATCTGACCTCAGTGTAAGCTTTCAATACATATATGGTTGTAAGCAGCTGATGAGAAACCATGACATATAATGAATTCATATTATTATGAATCCCTGTTTGTTCTGGTTTTATTTAATTTCTTTCTCTTCTTCTAAGGCTTTTTGGAACATACTCAAAAGATCTAAGATATGCCCTCCTTTCTGTTCAGTCAATGTAGCTGTCTTGGCAGGTGGACGTAAATTTAGAAACACGATTGGCGGTAATATGAAGGGTATGCTTGTTGATATTTGTCTAGGTTACTTAACATATTGTTTTATAAAGAATACGTAGTTTGGCTGCCGGGTAAGTTTTGGCTAATGCAGTGTTAAACCTCCTGCTGATTGAGCTTGTGACGTCATCACATTTGAAGTTAAGATTCATATATAACAGTTTTTCACATTTGTCAATAAATGTCTGTGGGTAGCAGTTACTTCTTAGGCATTTTACAACGTTCATCAATTCTTCTTCCGATTTGTCGATGGTACATATCCCTTCTACTTTATAAAAAAGTAGTTGCTATTAGGCGTCAAATACTTGATTTGTGTCCAAAATGAAACAATTATTAGGTTTTCCTTGTCTTAGTAACAAATATTCCATTGTTGCATCTTAAAACACTTTTAAAAAACCCTATTGATGTGAACAGAGAAACAAGAAGCCTTGACAAACTACGGAAGCTATTTTTCGGGACGTTATTCCATGTAATTTAAAGTTTGTAAGCCAATAACATTTTTGTTTCTAGTCTATTCTACAAATCATAAACTTTCGTTTGATGTATGATTCACTGCCATAGTCCTTTTTATTCTAAAGCTATTGTAATTTAAATGTATTATTTTGTACTCTATATTTCTACGCTAATCCCCAGTTTTGGACATGATTGTATTTTCCTAATTATTGTACGTTGTGGTCGGGTTAGTCATCTATTTATTCATGTCCTCTTTTTATACTGATCTGAAATTGGGAACCAGATAGAAATCGAGAATAAATTGAGTTGTGTTCCAGTTGACTTGTCTTCTCTCACTCGCGTGCTTGTCAGCCAATCAATCAGGTGATAGGACAGTTTTCGTCTCTCTCACCCATTTCGAACTCACGCATACTAGCCTCAAGTTTAAGCCAGTCAACCTATCGCGTCAAGGTCTTAATCTAGATTAGACAAGTTATCCTCTGCACAAAATGGGTAGACAGATCAAGGACGTAACACCTTTCTTGAATTTATTTCATCATTGAGTTTTTATTTTGAATGTCTTCCAGATTAGCAACCTTATTTTATTAACTGATTTTTACTCATTCTTGTCAGCATTTACTCATTACGTGATCACTTGTTTCTGGCCCTTTGAATTGTTGTTATGATCAATGTTGTAGAATGTTCTTTTACATAACGTATATATTTACAATATTCGGTCTATTGAGTTTATTTACACCCTTGATATGCTATACTGATATGTCTTCAACATAACTCTCAACTAAACTCTTTCATATAAGTAGTTTAAACCCATTTTGTAGTATTTTTAAATATCATAGGTGTAAGGAGCTGACGAAAACCAGACGAAACAAAATGAATTCATGTTATTCTGTTTGGATCTTTGTTCTTGCTCTCTTCAAAATGATAAAGAGAACTATGTGCATGAGGTGATGCTTTAATAGAGTAGTTCTGAGGAAGTGGCGCGTTGACTGTTACCAATTAGTGTCTATTGTCTGAGGAACATCTAGTGATTCAAACCACACTCAGATCCCGAGTACTGAATTAGCACCACTCAGGTTCAGCGTGTGACGTCACTAGCATGCAGCTATGTATATTGACCACTGATGGATAAGGACATTCCAGGTATCGTAAAGAAATGTCCACGATGAGCACAAGCCGCAAAACTGTCACTGAAAATATAGCCATTTCTATGGCTAAGTGCAGGATTTCCATGGTTCTGTGTTTATGCTGATTTTATTGGGTCAATAAACGGCCAACGCCTTCATATTATCATCGACTCATTTACAAAATGATCAGTGATTTATTTGATGCCTGAGACCTCATCAACTTCAGCCATAAAGACGCTGAATAGACTTATCAGGCAATATGGTTCACCAGAGACACTGGTTACAAACAATGAATCTCAGATCACGTCGGAAATCTTATCGAACTTCTGATTAAAGAACGCAATTATACACATTCTGTCACCGCCCTACTATCCTCAGCCAAACGGCCGAGCTGAGCGTTTTGGAGATACCTTCAAGTGAGATCTCATCATGTCACAAGGAGAGGGCACGACGGAGAAGGTCATCCAGAATTTCCTGATAGTATACAGAATAACCCCGAATTCAGTCTCCCCAACGTTGCCTCCCTTAGTGAGTTGATGTTCGGAAGCAAGATCTGGACTTCATTTGATAGCATGTATTCACAAAAAAGACGAGATTATAAACCCAAGGCAAAGAGAATTGGTCATAATGGGTTACCAGTGTATTTAAGGAACTTTCGATAACGGGAGCCTGCGTGAGTAGCGGGTGTCATCGTTAGAAAAGTCGGTAACGTGATGTACAAAACTGATGTTCAAGGTAAATGCCAGACGCAACACGTTAACCACATCCGCGATAGATGACTAAATTCGGATAAAAAAATCCCCTAGTTCCATTTTGCCACTAGATTATTTAACTGATACAGTCAGTTTGGAGCATCAGGATCAGCGCGGAGGAATTGATGGCCAGACCCCAAGCAGATCACCAAGAAAACAACGTTGCCATCAACGCCTTCAGCAAAATTCAAAAATCAGGACTAATTTTCCAGGAGGGAGAGGTGGTATGGTCAGCCAATCAGAAGTAGCTCAATGAGGTCATTCGATGGCAGTCAGAAATGACCTGATGGACAAGTGCATCATTGGTTAGAAAAAACGGACTGATTTCCCAAGGGGTAGGGTTGTATATATGTAAATGAGTATTTATGCAATTTCTTCGGTAGCCCAATATTCTTTCTCGTTCATGCAATCAGTTGAGGGGTTGGCACATAGTACATCATGTATTAGTATCAGATTTCGGACACCGCCGTTATAACATAAATTTGATATTTAGTGTGTCCTGATTACTAGTTTGCATTCTGAAGGGCAGACCTTTTGGGTAGATTATGCATCTTCGGGTCTTATCTGAAATTTGTTTAACTAAATGCTATTGCTTCTGACTGAAACCAAAAATCACTCATACACGACTCCGTGTAAATTAGTAAGCAGTTGCTTCACAGTATGAGGAATTGTCGTGGTATTGTAGACTTATTGTAGTTACAGACGGCCATCCGTTAATTTCGTCATTACTCTGAGTATTAAATCAATGATGAAGTTGTGTTTCAGATAGCAAATCGATAAGTTCGGCTACTAGAAGTAATGCAGTTCAACCTTAATCTGTTAGTAGACTTTATAAACGAAAAATTTCTACACAAAAATTGGGTCCCAGTTGTTATTCACCAAGAAATCATCTCCCTGATAATACTATCTTTCCACTAGTTGGTACAGTGATTTGCCATATAATGGGTTTTAACAAGTGTTTCTACTGCAAAAACTGAAGTTTCAATTAGTAGATTGACATTGCTGCTTATTTCTAACGATTTCATTAAGTACCACGATAACATAGAAACACCAGACGGTGACTTGTAGAGTATCCATTTTTGCTCATGACTGATTCATAGTAGTGTCATGTAACATTTTCAACAATAAAACAATAAACTAACCTGTACTGTGTAGCAGGTTTAAGTGGTCCATTACATTCATGCGAATTATATGGACATACACCATTTTCACCGATTATGAAATATTTATCGGAATATAGATAACTTTCATTCATTCGGTAAGCCATTGAACGTTGTGTACGCGTCTGACTTAATTCCAACCGTGAATGTATAAGTATTTCCCATGATCCATTTTCTTTATTATGGCGATTTTTGTATGTCTTTTTTTATTGAGCGGTTAAATACAAACAATGCATTAATTAAAACTTCCTTAACAATGCATAAACACTTCAACTAAATTTTAAAATTATTTTTGATTGAAAGTTGATGTAGGATTAGGCGTCATTAGTGATTTACCAATGAATTATTATACATTATGATAAACTAGTGTCTGTAGGCTGTCAAAATACTTAGTAATATGCTATAAAGCGCCAATAAAAACCGATTAGGAATGAGATCTGTTTTTTCTATTCATATCTCATGTAGAATCACATATTTTTCCAATTCTATCAAACCAAATATTTGGCTCAGATAGGTAAATGTAACAGTTGTTATTATTATTAACTCATTTCCAAAAACATCAAGAACGCTTATAAAACATGTGTACAGTTTGTGATGAGCGTAAAGCTTTCATTACCACAACATAACCGGTGCCACTAGCAAGAAACTTTAACCTCTGGTTTCTTGACGGTTATCTACAACAATCTCAAACTAAGAATACGCTTTTTTCCATAAATTACAAACGGAACGGAGACTTAGTATACGGGATTCAAATCTTTACAATCACTCAGAGTCAACATAGTTCTCGTAGTAAACGTATTCAAAAGACCACCCAAACTAATCAAGATATAAATAAACTATTTTTTAATGGCCCGTGATCAACCAATTATTCAGTAAGTATTATTTGAACAGTACAAAGCACAGAAATGAATCACAAAATGCAAAATCGAAGTGTTTGTAGTTATTTGAGTAGACAAGAACTTTACAAGATCCGTCAAGTGCGCCGAATAATTTTTTATAAAAACAGCAAATGATATCTTTAATTGCTTTGATATTGATACACCCTCACACGAATCGAATGATGAAGTGCGACGCATATATATTTGGTGCCTCCTTGTACAAATGTTTATGTATTTAAATAAATAAATAATAAGCAGACCGTACCTGATAAACTCAACTAATTTATATAAAATCTAACCAAATAGTTATATCATATAACGCTCCAGCACATGTCTAACGGCAGATCTATTACAGTGATTATTACGATCATTTTCCTCTGCATCTTTGACCGCTAATATGGACAGTCGGTGGACATTGGACTAATTTACCACTCTGTTGTAAACTGGACTATTTCAGTCTAAATTTAGGGGTTCACTAAATCTGGCGGGCCTCTTGACGTGTATGATTATGTATATGAATTGCATGAGTTTGAGATTGTGTAATTTGTGTATGTAGGTATATACCAAAGGCATGTGTGAGAGGGTTAGCACAAGGAACGTAAGCTGGAAAATTATATGTCCTATGCCTAATACAATCAGCAACCTAACATAACAGGTAGAAGACATCATAAAAATATACGGGAGCAGATACTAGGGACAGGTGACAACCAACCTACCCAGAGAGTGTTCATGCTATATGTTTGTCATGAAGTGCGAGGATGAAAGCCTTTGTACCGATTATACGCATGTAGCGCGTAAGGAACAATCAGTAGCAAATACGTTTGAAGAGAGCTGTGACCATCTATTCCCCAGGTGAATAAATAAACCCATATGGGATGTATGAGTGAAAACTTGTGTTATCGGTATGTCTGTGAACTATACTTGGTCACGATACTACGCCCGCGTGGTATCGATCTCCCCATGCAATCACATCCACACAGTAGATTTGTGAGCCTTGAAACACAGAAGCTAATGACAGAAAAGCCACACCGGCTTCCCCAGAATAGGCTTTATCAACTTTAAGTGGTTGGAACACCATCACCACCTGCAGAGGCACTACTTCAAGCCTCCTCACGGGTTTCAGGAGTGAAACATTACTTCATAAAGTATTGGATGGGAACATCACAAATAGCTTGAAGTCGAGAAGTGTGAGTCAATCAGATTCAAACTGGACGGATAAGTAACATTACGCTATATGGTATAGCTAAAGTCTATGGATAAGTTCTAAACTATGGCGAAGGGCGCTTTCAGTGTTTCTAAAGATCCTAAAACCGATGTCACTTAGTGATGAAAATCACTGCCAAATGACACCGAATTTGAGTTTAATGACTGAACACTAACATCTAATCATTATGACATAACTAATTGGCACTACACATTAAACATATTAGGTTTGATCTTAAATCCAATATCTTGAATTGTGCTTATTTCATAATAATGTTTCATTTATTATCGATCCGTAATGTTAATTCATCATTGCCACAAAGGTACTGCATATCATGAATAAATAAAAGAACTAAAAAATCACACTCGACTTACCGACTCAACTAAATAAATATCCGTAATGTCATTGTAGTGCATTTTCTTTGTACAACCTTCAGAACAAATAAGTTCATCATCATGATTTTCCCTAGTTGGTTTTATTACGAGTGAAACCACATAAACTGTTGAAATGAAACAATTTAACCGAGATAACGGTAAATACAAAATAATCATATTGTCTCGTTGAATATGAGTTGTTTGTTGTTCTGGTGGAACTTGTAGGATCAGACTCGTCAGCTGATTAAGACTGTCACGTTCAACAGCTTTTTATTTGACAAAATAGTTAAAGGTAAATGGAATAAGTAATAGTGTGTAAAGTTTAAATATCGTCAAATCACGAACAAAATATTTATCTAACCAGATCATTGGAAACAAACTTTAAAGAACATCAAGTAAATACGAAATTTTTGAAGAAAATTTATGAAATGTTGAGTACTACTAATAAGTAGAACATTTTGAAGTGGATTGAACGCCACAGTGAAAGCGTGAAAATTGTAGAAATTATTTAACACAAGGATGACGGTTGGTATCTTCTTGACTAGAACAGTGTTATCACTTGTGCTTTTCAGATCCAAACTAACTGTTTGAATGCTTGCACGTCGACCACACTTAACAGCAAGCTTGTTTTGAGTCTGGAATTTATATCTAAATATCCCAAAGTTAGATAAAGACCAACTGTCCAGTCTTCGATTTTAGCTTATCATTTAATTAATGTTATTTTATGGTGAAAAACACCTTCAGACAGGTCAATTTTTGAAAGTTGTCTAGACTTTTAATTTATATGTGCTCTTTCAATCACCGACATGTATTTCTTTGCTAGACATAGGTACTATAAATACGTGGATCACATATATCTTTGACAACTACAAATCCCTTTTATTATTGGGAAAATACTCATCTTTATTTGAACTATTAATGACGTCTGTCAGAATATTTTGGTATACAATAAAATAAAAAAACCGCTTCAATTTATAAGTCAGTATTATCACTTACTCTCGGAATATGTATGTACAAAAATCTCTTCTGATTCGATACTATTATGGTATGTAGTATCTATGCATTGTACAGATACACTATACCATGTATCCGGTGAAAGACTGAAAATATGAAAACTTGTGGCTGATTGACCAGCATTGAATTTCATTGGTTTGTTTGTATGATTGTGCAAAGCCTTTATGAATACATAATAATACTTGTTATTGTCGAATGAATGCTCTTCTAATGCATGATGCCAATGTACAGTAAATCCATAAACATTAATTTCAGAAAATGTTAAATTGACTGGTGGTTGAATACCTGAAATGTTGATATGTTAATTACAAAAAAAACTAACTACAACACATAAATCATCGTTTTAAAGCAAGAGAAAGAGATAAACAAATTAAGTGAAGTTGCTAGTCATATACGTAACTTCTGAACGAATATCACTTAAATTTTTACCGTTCCTCATAAAAACACTAATGAAAACGTTTACGATGGTTCTAGAGTCATTCCCATAGTAAAAAATGAGGGTGACAACAACATTTTGAGATGCTCTTACGTGTTCATGGTTTTCTGGCATTTCAGAAAGTGTAATTTGTATGTAATCATCAGTGTGCAAATGACCATTATTTAATGAAAGGGATTTGTGAAGGTCTTTGTTCATTTTAAGAGCGATTTTCATCATGATTTTCGCTGTAATTATAATAATTTTATGGAATATGATTGTAGAAAAAATACGCTGCACTTTATAATCATTACGATCTATAATTAAAGTTATTTCTTAATGCAAGCCCACTATGATTAGATTATCAAAGTGTCGGTTCCCATTTCTACTGTATTATATCTTTATGACTTATTGATCAGACGAATGACATATATATATATATATATATATATATATATATATATATATAATTCCAAAAACAGATATTAGCAGTTACCATTCTCTTATTCTTCGTTCGGATATAATATACTGGATGTTGTCAAAGAAGACTTATCATAATCAATTCAAGAAATGTCGAGCATTACCAAACGTTTACAAATTTACTAATAAAAAGATTACTGATTAACAAGACGCTTCTTGAACATGGACCTGAAATATGAACTAATGCCTTAAATTAACACTTTTTCTGAGGAAAAATGCGATTACATTTTATAAAATGGATTAAGAAAACCTACTAAGTATTGATAAACTTACATGCTGGATATGTTGTATAGATTAGAAAAGATTTCGTTGCATCACTGTATATACCATAATTAGTATCAAACGACTTAAGATATACCGTATAATTTGTTCTAGGTAATAAGAAAGTGACAGTAAACTCGCTTTTCCCATTGCAAACATTGAACTGATTAAAATTATCATTAATATTTAAAGTTGGTCGCACATAAAGTGAATAACAAATGTTAGTGAACGTTAAATCTTGGTTTATTTCGTTCCATCTAATAGTGAATTGATTTGGTTTGATGTTGGTCACTGTTACATTTTCTGGCTTAATAGGTCCTTCAAATGGCAAAAAATAAAGTATTTTAATCAGTACTAAAGAATCCGTTGAAACAAGCTGGGAACAGTTCCATTTTAAAGTAGTTTTCACACCAATGTTATATAAGTAGTAAGCGATCATTTGATACAATTAGAGGTTATTGTTAGTATTTTATCACTGACAAAATAATATTGCCAATTCACAAAAGTGTCTATTGTTACTAATTTGATAGATGTTTAGGACCGCAAATGGTTAGTCTGTGTTTGGCACATGTGCATCTAGTGCAGACTGCCTCAATATGGCCGTTAAGTCACAAGTATTACAACCGAGTTATTTTAATGTCATCAGGATAACATTTTCATAGTATTATGTTAATGTATTGTCTAAAGCGTTTGTACGATTTATATTTCTTATTCGTTTTTAACTCAGTCAGTACGATATAAAATTTAAGGAATTTTTAAATCTGTTAGTTTGAATACTCTACAGGATTAATTATGTATGTTACCATTCCATATTTTTCAATCCACAGTAAAATATTGCAACTTGAAATAATCAAGATATTATGAAAATATAATGATGGAATTTAATAGATCATTTGAATACAAAGCAGTTAATTTCACAAATCTAGACAACCAAATGAGGAAACAATGTTTGCCAAAACTTTGTGATAACAGTGCAACAGATTTCGAACAATCTGAGCAGACATTTAATTTTTCGTAAACAAATAACTTAACAGAAGGGGTTTTGTGGATATTATAGTAATTTTAATAGTTGAGATCATGTGTCAATTGCAGCTAGACAATCAGAGAAAACCTGGAAGCACTGGATGTCCGTTTCGTCCTATTGTGGGACTCCTCAGCAGTGCACATCCATTATCCCACCTCGCGAGATTCTAACCCAGGACCCATAGGCTGTTCAGTGCTTCCACGTTTTTCATAGAGATCTTGCTTCAATTGACTTATGATCTCAACTATTAAAAATACCTTAACAACTGTGTGATCAGAATGTTCGGAATGTATCGCATTAATATATCACATAATTATGAAATTCGTGGTAACATCATATTACCTAGATCAGTTGAGGCTGTAAACACTTGACAAAGGAGAAGGGTCAAAACTGACATTGAAGATACGTTGTGAGTAACGAATTACATAATGATGAATGATGAGTTTGTAAATTCGAGCGTGTAACTTACAATAGTACAATCTTTTAGTTAGGAAATTATAAGAAAGTAGGCTGGGGCTTAAAAAGTATTAAGTTACTAAAGGATTGAGATTCACATTGAAAGTGATGGTCTGAAAACCAAGATTTACTGTCAATTGTCTCAAAATCATCGAATGAGTTTTAAACTGTCAATAAATATACAGTATAAAATGAAAAACAGTACAAGGCTAAATAAAGAATGAAAAGTTAGACATCGTAATACACTGAAAGCACTATTACATAAAAATCCGGGCTAATCATCTCTTTTTACCATAAATAACTATTCGGTTTAAACACTTGGAATTTACAATCTTCTGTAATTTCAGATATCATATTTACGGTTGTAATCTGGTCAGTCAGTAGGTCTATGATGAAGTTAAACAAAAATGGAGAAAGTGGACAGCCTTGTCGGACACCACTTGAGGTTGCAAAAACAGATGACATTTCGACATAAGCTCTGACTCGACTAGCAGTGTTCGAGTAGAGAGCCTTCACAAGGTTTATGTACTTCTGAGGTACGCCTTTCAATGACAGACACCACCACAGAATCTCGCGGTCTACCGAGTCAAATGCTGCCTTTAAGTCAAGAAAGACCACCACTGTCGAACGCCGATAAGTAGGGCTATGTTCTAGAACCTGACGAATGGTGAATATGTGGTCGATGCAGCCACGACCAGTTCTGAAGCCAACTTGATTCTCTCGTGTTTGCAGTTCACGATTCTTAAATAAGCGTCCGATAATTATCGAGGCCAGTATTTTAGATACTGTATTAGTTAAATTAATCTTATATATTGGGACGATAAGTGATTGTGACCAGTCAGATGGAATTACGTCCAACTCCCAGATTTTAGCTAAAATATTAGTCAACCTAATCGCTAAAATTGGACCACCATCCTTAAAGACCTCTGGAACCAATCCATCTGGACCAGCTGCTCTTACTCGTTCCAGATTAACTATAGCCTTTCGAACTTCTGCTAGAGTTGAAGGAATTACTTTAATGTTCCATTCACACTGTCTGGGAATGAAGGGTAGTTGTAGAGTAGCTGAAGGCCAGCTGAACTGTTCTCTGGTATGTTCCACCCATCGTTCTAAACGTCTGGACTGGGAGCAGATAAGGGTGTCGTCTTTTTCCGAGATAGTTTCACTTACACTTGACTTAATAATTTAAATTTCATTTTTTAGTCTGAAGATCTGTCATGTTTTACCTATAGCCGCCGCCTTTTCCATTTTTTGCTTTCGTTGCCTACCACTGCTCACGGTCGTTCCTTAGAATTTTTCACAACCTAGATCTTATTTGTTTTCGCTCTTCATCGTGTTCGGAGCCTGATAGAATGAGTTGACGAGGATCCATCAGTGAAATAGATTAGAAAAAATCCATCGGTTTTTGATAACCCTATTTGTATACCCTTCCAAGCATATCTGAGTCAGCCTCGTTTTCAGGACTACCTAAGTGTGACCCCAGTTGTTCCTGGAATCTGCTTTCGGCTTCCTCGTCACTCAGTTCAATTCTAATGGGTCTTCTTAGTGTGGCTTTTCTGCGTCTATTAAGGTTCAAGCAGATGCGTGTCCGTATTAGAGCATGGTCGGAGTCCAAGCACGTACTCCAGAATGGGCGACAATCTTCGATCGACCCTCTCCAACAATGACTGATGGCAATATGGTCTACTCGAGTTCATCGTTGGTTTGATGCACGGGGTCGCCATGTTAGACGATGTCTCTCCTTATGTTTAAAATTAGTGCTTGCTAAAAATAAACGATTGTCTGAGCATAGTTGCAACAGATGATCAACATTATCTGTTCGCTGAGCTGGGATACTAAAATACCCACCTAAATGCCTTTCTGTTTGGTTTAAGCTACCTATCTGGGCATTAAAGGCACCTGCTACGAGTACTATGTCTGAACGTGTAGCTTTCTGAAGGAGTTCAGATAGCTTTCTGTAAAATTCATCTTTCACTTCATCTGAGCTGCAGTTGGTGGGAGCGTAGACAGAAACGACAAAAAGGCAACGACGTGTGTCCCTACTCTTCCGAGTTCGGACGTAGCCGTTTGGCCGAACAGCACATAGATAACTGTTAACGAGGATTCACTCTGACAGTGCTCGCTCCGCCCTCATGCTTAGTGCTATGTCTACACATGCCAGTCCACGAGAATTAGCCATCGGGTCGCCAGATACACGGAGGGTGTATCTCGTTGGCTCTCCGTTTTGCCGAGGTGACGTCAAGTGTATGGCCACACTGGGATCCTGTATGCGTGTTTCAGAGACACAGCATACACCAATGGTACGAGATTCTAGGGTTCTAGACAAGGAAGCCTGTTGACAGATTTGACATAGGGTGTGTACGTTGAAGGCTCCAATGTGTAGTTTGGAGCGAGGTTTCATTAGACCTGGGACATTGTTTTGAGCACTAGAATCGTTGGGTATGGTGACACTTGTGGGGGGGAAAGCCGACAAAGGAAGTTTAGAGGTGAAAGTCGATGTAAGAGGAATAATAGGAATTGAAGAGGGAGGTTGATTATGAATACAGTGGTCTTGAGTGCTGTTAGAGGTATGAGCGCAGTCGGTCACACAAGACCTTTTTATGGGTAATTTTTGTGTTAGCTCCGTACTTGTTGAGACCTTACTGCCGCAGACGGATATCCGTGGGATAAGGCGAGGTGTGCATTTTTAGGATCGACCTTTTCCAACCCCACCCCTCCTTGTGAGAAGGCAGCATCGCTGTCATACTGGTTGTCTGAAGGAAACACCTTACTGCTGTCACACCTCTGTACAGTCAGCAGTACTACTTCGCCTTCGGACCTTAGGTTTGTTGTTCAACCTAATGTACACTGTTTAGCATGGGGGTAAATAGCACTAATCAGTTGTCTAAAGCGAGTTAGGAGGAACCGATTTCAGGTTTGCAAGTTCGAACACTAGGTCACTGAATGTTTGCATGGATGCAGTTGGTAACGGATATTTTCAACAATATCATGCAAATATACATTTTGCTGTTCTTGAGTAAAAATGATGACGCAGAGCTTATTCTTCAAATTTAAGTTTATTTATCAACCGACCTACTTTTCTAGGATAAAACGAATGTATATTAAAACAATAAAATATGTGTTATGGCCTAAATGACAACTTACTATCTGGATAGGTTACAGCGGTAATATAATTTGAAGGCAAACTTCGAAGTCCGTATGTTAAATCAAACGATTCAACATAAACTGTATAGTTTACTCCCGGTAATAACGATTTGATGTCACACACGTTAGAATGACAAATATTGAATTTTTGAAAATGGCTAAATACAGTAAACGTTGGACGGATATATACCAAGTAACAATTGATGTTGAAAGCTAAATTCTCCTCAGGAGGCATCCATACAACACGGAGCTGTGTTGATCCAGTCTCAATAAACGTAACGTTGATAGGTGGATTAGGAGCTTTGGTACAAAATAAATCAAATGAGAAAACGAAATAGACAAATGTCAATATTTTAGATTCAATTATATAAGTAGTTGTTTACATATTATGTGATGTTCATCATAGATTAACATAAGTTAAGGTATTATTAAAAGCAGAAAGGATTGGATAACTGTTTTGTAGGTGGTGTGAGATTCCTGAGTAGGATGCACACAAGTGTTACTTTTAAACCACTGATTCGGAACTTAGAGATTCTTATTTTGAAATTCAATTATTTCACGATATAGAACAGCAACTATCTGAATTATTGTTGATGACAGTCTTATTCTCAACATTACTAAACTGTGCGTACAATGATATCATGGATCCAGCTATATAATGTGATTGGTTCTGTCAGTATACGATCTGGTGAATACACTAAAACCAATTTCTGAAACTGAACTGCACGAAAAAGCTTGAAACTTCCGTGATCAAGTCTGTATTTTGGTCTATACAATAACAATAGATATTGATTGATATTTTCTTGCCTCATAACTCACTTTGAATTTTTGGGATTGTAATAAATATCTTTACCTCGTTTAGTTATTCTTATGTTCTGTAACAGTGTCTGTTGGCCCAGGAAATTGTCAGCAACGATATGCTTGAAATTGACTAATATTTCTCTAAATAATGAGATTTGTATTTTCCAACAAATTGATTAAAAGCCTGATAAATCGTTACACATCAATGCTATGTAAAAAACTGCCTTTTTTGCTTCAAGTCAGACTGCTTATTATTAAAAGTAGTCAGCTTTATTGAAGCATCTAAATAGCTCGAATATTCGGATGAATAATAAAAGATCTACACAAATTATTCACTTTACTTATCCTTAGATAAAGTTGCATAGTGGCCAGCAGTAAAATTACTATTCAATCTATTTGAGACTTGTTAACTGGGTGACCTGTCTTCCAGTTACGAAGTTCATTCTGGAGATCCAAACCAATGCTTATCATTCCTGCTTTTACTACACTACCGCGTTGTCCACCGGTCAAATGCCGTAATTATAAGCAACAATGAGAAAATATAAAGCTTTACAAAAAACATTTACCCTAATACTTCTATTTTAATATTTTGGCTGATTTATATACTAGACACAGTGGTATATCATCCTCCTCGTTCTGAATTTCCGAAATCACACTAATCATTAGTTTTTTTTTATTATTTTGGAACTTTTATCTAATTGAAAACGTAGTATTTGATTCATGCAAATCGTCTAGCAATATTTTTGTTTGACAACCGTATACTGATGCGAGCAGAGAAACAAAGAAGCGATGATAAACAACGGAAGCTAGTTTTGAGTACGTTATTCCACTTAATTCAAAGCTTGTAAAATGCTAACATTTAGTTTATCTCCCTAGTTTATTATACAAACCAGAATATAACTGAACAACCGGCCATTTTTGTAATTTTTTAATTAATATTTTTTCACCCCTTTAGAAAAGTTTTTTCATCCCATTTTCCAATATATTCCATTCTGTTTGGTCTAATTAAATGGCTAGTTTTAAATTCATTATATTTGGTTAGTTATGTCTTGAAAATTGTTATAAAATGTCAGTACTTGTCGACAGAGTACATTTTATTCAAATTATGGAGGAGAATAATGTACAAGCTCTGTCGTTTCTCACGTTGTCACAGAAACGGAGAACGTATTCTTGAATACATTGTATCTCGTAACGTTCCAATCTCTTGAAGCGTTAAACTGCGCCATCATAACTTATGAAAGATTTACGTACTGCCATATGTGGTGAGAGATTCGCATTTCCACAGAAATTGGAAATCGTATATTAAATTTGTATGTTGGAGAAATGGCCGTAGAACACCTAGAGGTTCCTCACAGCCGATTAGACGGAGGTAATTTGATTAGTGTTATTACTTTTTTTTCACGAAGGGCTTCCATGAACACTCAATGTCCGACCTTCATGTTTTGTAAGTTGATAGAAGGTTACTGGACTGTTGTTCGTGGGAATGTGCATCACAATCACGAGTGCAATTCCCTGAGGTACGACAGTAATTCTTGGATGCACAGGTTAACGGAGGCTGAGTTTGAAACAGTGCGACCACTCCTGATATCTGGGACAGCAGCATTCGATATTACTCATTCATGTATTAATTTGGCTAGACTGAACACTTAGGAAATATTTGCTATTGACATAACAAGAAAAAAACCTAACCCGCACTTCTGAAGCCCAATAAACGATTTACATGACTGCTTAAACACACAAGTATTTATTGTCATAATTATAAACTGCTAAACTAAAAAGAATGTACAGGTAAAAACAATTAACGCTTTTAATGGACTAGCAAAATAACCCTGTAGAAAACTAATGTTTTATTAACGAAACCGTTTATAAAGCGAAAGTAAACAACTATTTTGTATTAAGAATTACTATTTACAAAATAACCCAACCATGAATATTAATTGCCTCTTTCTGAGAAATTAATAACTCCGCCTGTAGCTCTTCCAGAGTTACTGCCGGTCGCAAGCCCGGGTAAAGGAGAAGGGTTGGGCATGGGGTTAGCGTCCCCATCCCGTAGAAAACTAACTCGCTAAAAAAACGCTTACCAGAAAAAATTATTCAAACCATTTAAACTCTGCCCTGGGAGTTAGAAGGTCTTCATTTAGAAGAATTATGACGCTTCATGGTGAAAGCCGAGTTCCTTCGGAAGCCACGAGGCCGATGCCCCTTCTAACAACCAGAGCAAAAATTTTTATAGGTACATGGAACGTCCGAACAATGTGGGAAACCGGGAAGACCAGTCAAATAGCAACGGAAATGAGGAGATACAACTTGGCAGTACTGGGAATCAGCGAAACCCACTGGACCCAAGCTGGACAAAAAAGGCTAGCTACGGGAGAGATGCTGCTATACTCCGGTCACGAAGGGTAAAATGCTCCACACACTCAGGGAGTCGCTCTAATGCTGTCCAAAGTAGCACGAAATGCACTTGTAGGATGGGAATCTCACGGATCCAGAATCATCAAAGCATCATTCAAAACAAAGAAGGAGGGGATCTTAATGAATATTATCCAATGTTATGCACCCACCAATGATAGCAACGACGACATTAAAGATCAGTTCTACGAGCGGCTGCAGTCAATCATTGAGAAATGCCCAAGAAAGGACCTAACTATTCTGATGGGAGATCTAAATGCCAAAGTCGGAATAGACAACACCGGATATGAAGATATCATGGGACGACATGGACTGGGTGAGAGAAACGAAAATGGAGAAAGATTTGCAAATCTGTGTGCATTCAACAAATTGGTCATAGGAGGCACAATATTTCCACACAAACGTATACACAAGGCTACATGGATCTCACCGGACCACACTACAGAGAACCAAATAGATCATATTTGCATCAAAAAAAACTTCCGAAGGACAATGGAAGATGTGAGAACCAGGAGAGGTGCTGACGTAGCTTCAGATCACCACCTAGTTGTAGCCAATTTAAAACTGAAGCTAAAAAAAAACTGGACAAGTGGACAAACAGCACTACAAAGGTTCAATACAGCCTTCCTTCGAGATACTGACAAACTCAATGAATTCAAGATAGCTCTCAACAACAGGTTCCAAGCCTTACAAGATCTACTGAAGAAGAAGAAACTACTATGGAGGACAACTGGAAAGGCATCAAGGAAGCATTAACTTCAACGTGTCAAGAGGTTCTGGGCCTAAAGAAACACCATCATAAGGAATGGATCTCTATAGAAACACTGGACAAGATCAAAGAAAGGAAGAACAAGAAGGCAGCAATTAACAACAGCCGAACACGAGCAGAGAAAGTCCAAGCACAAGCTGAATACATAGAAGCAAACAAACAAGTGAAGAAAAGCATTAGAGCCGACAAGAAGAAATACGTGGAAGAACTAGCAACGACGGCAGAAAAAGCTGCTAGAGAAGGAAATATGAAACAGCTTTACGATACAACGAAGAAACTAGCAGGGAAATACAGTAAACCAGAGAGGCCGGTCAAAGACAAAGAAGGCAAGCCAATCACCGAAATTCAACAACAGCGTAACAGATGGGTAGAATACTTCGAGGAACTCCTGAATAGGCCGGCTCCAATGAATCCACCGGACATCGAAGCAGCACACATAGATCTTCCTATAGATGTCAACCCACCAACGACGGAAGAAATTAGAATGGCCGTCAGACAAATCAAGAACGGGAAAGCAGCAGGACCCGACAACATACCAGCTGAAGCACTGAAATCAGACATCGAAGCAACCACAAGCATGCTTACCTTCTATTCAAAAAGATTTGGGAGGAGGAACAAGTGCCGATGGACTGGAAAGAAGGACACCTCGTCAAGATTCCAAAGAAAGGAGATCTGAGCAAATGTGAAAACTACAGAGGCATTACACTACTGTCAATACCAGGGAAAGTCTTCAACAGAGTGTTGCTGAACCGGATGAAGGATGCAGTAGACGCCCAACTTCGAGATCAACAAGCTGGATTCCGTAAGGATCGGTCGTGCACAGACCAAATTGCAACACTACGGATCATCGTCGAACAATCAGTTGAGTGGAACTCATCACTATACATCAACTTCATTGATTATGAAAAGGCATTCGACAGTGTAGATAGGAGGACATTATGGAAACTTCTTCGACACTACGGAGTTCCTGAGAAGATTGTCAATATTATCCGGAACTCATACGACGGACTACAGTGCAAAGTAGTGCATGGAGGACAGCTGACAGATGCATTCCAAGTAAGGAACGGAGTCAGACAAGGCTGTTTACTCTCTCCCTTCCTCTTTTTTCTGGTGGTCGACTGGATTATGAAGACCTCGACATCTGAGGGAAAAAACGGCATACAATTGACAATTAGACGATTTGGACTTCGCAGATGACCTAGCCCTCCTATCGCATACACACGAACAGATGCAGACAAAGACAGCCAGTGTAGCAGCAGTCTCTGCATCAGTAGGCCTCAGCATACACAAAGGGAAAACCAAGGTCCTCAAATTCAAA